TCATGTGTGTGCCCTTGATCCACAGAATTGATAAGGACTCATGCAAACCCCCTGTGGACAAACTGGCATACATTCTTCTTTGTAATAAATACTTAAAGGTGGTCTCATCTGGGAACAGAATGTCGGGCAAAGCACATGTGAGCATACCACTGGGCATCAAAACGTAAGGAACTAATGCAAGGAGATGCTGGAGGAGTACTTCATTACACAGAGAACAGGATTCCACTCTGTGAAGGAGCCAAGTTTCATGACAGAAATACCTCAGTCATTGCAGGGCATGACATCTACATGCATTTAAGTATACTACAGCGTAACTGACTACCTAGCAGGAGCTTATAGAAATGAGTGTACACCTACACTTGTGATGTGTACGAGGCATGGTTTGTAGACGCAAATCCACTAGGAGTTATGTGGACTAATCGGTGCAGCCCTCTGGCTGCTCTCTTCTGAAGTGGTCATTTGGAGAGGTTCTAAGAGATGGAAGACTCATTGTGAGAAACATCTTGGGGATTTTTTTTTAAAGAAGCTAAAATGGCGTGACGTACTGTAATCACCTGTCAGTCTTCATCTAACTGAGCTATGAATGACTTTGGATTATTTTCAAAACTTGAATCTATCCTCAGAGGATGATGATTTCTCACCTCTAAGGTTAATCCAAGGAGGAGTGTGCGAGGTCCCTCCCACAGCAAAGTATCACAGAGCATTTCTACATGGGCAGTGATTAGTATACCCCTCTGCCAAGGGGACACCTCTTCAGGAAAGTGGGGTGAGGTGAAACACTTGAATCTTTCTGCTATTTAGAAAACACTAGAAATACAACCCTATGATCATACCTCATGTGTGCACTTACATATACACATATTTATATACCATTAAATTACACATTGCAAAAAAGGATATGCTACTTAAAATGTAGAGGAAAAACAAAAACAAAATTTAAAAACTGCTCATTAGTTCCAGAAGAAATCCATTTACTGAAATGTTGACCTTTACTTGCTCCCAGGTGACTGGCTTCTGGTAACTTCTTAAAACTGCTCAGCTCATCTTCCATGGAGCCACACATCAGAGGCAAACCCAATAAACACTCCTCACATAGAATGAACACATTTTAAACATACTAATTAGCAAGAAGAATAAAAAAAAGATAAGAAAAATAATATTCACTAAGCACATACCAACGATCACCTCAGGTTTTGGGATGGGGAGAAGCTAAGTGTGGATGGGATACTCTCTGGCCACTTAAAGTCATTTAAGAACATTCATGGGATCTCTCTTACTAGTACCACAATACTCCTTTGCTTAAGTGGAGTGCGAGATCAGAGGACACATAGAAGCATGGTCCACAGAGGAGCTGACAAGTGCAGAGGCCGAGCAAGACTCCGGTTTCAGAAAGCACAGCTCTCTGCAGTCTAAGTGTGAGCTCCATGACTGCGGGCCTTTTGAGCTCCTAGTCTACTACTCTTAGCTCCCTCCTGGAAGCCCAGCCTCACCAATATCTGGGCTCCCTGGAACTCAGAAGGCTGCTGTGGGTTGGCAGAACATGAACTCCATCAGGAGTCAGCGTCACTGTGCTACAGCATGAGGAAACTGGTGGCTGTAGCTGTGTGCCATGGAGTCGGTTCCGACTCAGTGACCCTGTGTTGAGTTTCTGAGGCTGTAGGAGCACCGGTGGTAGAGGGCAAAAAGGAGTTCTATGCAGGGGACATTCTCAGAGTGTCTTTCTGAGAACCAGAACCACTGAGTTCTCAGCTCAAAGCTCAGAACTCATTTGGAGAAAATACCTCCATACCCAGAGTTCAAATTCACATGGAATTCAAATTCATACATGAGTTACACAGAGCAGGCGATGGAGAACTAACAAGGAAGTGTATGCTGCCACCCCTTGCTTTCCCTCCCTACACCTGGGAGGGACACACAGTCCTGACCTGCCTGCCCCCTTAGAACACATTCAGCTCAATGCTGTTATTGGCTACCAACCTCTAGGAAACAAAAGAACAGTTGAGAAGAGAATATGGTATCATTCTGAATTTTGTGAAAATAACGTGTGTTTCCTGGCAGTTGAGCTCTGTGGACCTTCAGACAGTAAAAGTTCTTATACACAGGACCAAAATCCTCCAGTCAGAGGCCTGAATCCCACATCTCACATTCTAATACTTCTGACAGCAGGCAGAAGCTTCCTGACAACACATTCAAGGATGAAGCAGAATCATTTTGGCAAATCTTCCTACAAAGTCAAAGTTTTTACCCATCGCCTGACACAGGGTCTTCCCAAGTTCCATAAACACATACTATTAGAAAGTTTTGAAGAAGTACACATCTCTAGACAATGTGGAAATATTTTTTAGATGTCGTGGAAGTCCTACTCATAATGTAACACAAACCTTTTCACCCACCTCTGATGTTTATGGGCAAACCTAGGCATTCTGGGCTGAAGTCTCTATATCTTAGCCCGTGAGAGGTGTGATAGCCATGTGCACATTTGTGTGTGTGTGAGCGTGGACACAGTGCACCTGAAACAGGTGTGCAGGGTGACTATAAGCCCCCTGCTCAAGGCACGCAGCCTGTGGCTAAGGTACAGCTCCTCTCCCAAGGCCCAGCTCCTGGCTAGGGGGTCTTTGGAATGAACTTAACCTCCCCAAACCCCAGTTTTCTCATCTGTGAGAAAGAAAAGAAACTCTCTTCCCCCAAGATTGTTTGAAAGCTTAATGAAAAAGTACTTACAACAGTGCTTGCATACAGTTGTTGTTGTTGTTAAGTGCCGTCGAGTCGGTTCCGACCCATAGCGACCCTGTACAGGGTTTCCGAGGGTGTAAATCCTTACGGGAGTAGAAAGCCTCATCTTTCTCCCGCGGAGCGGCTGGTAGTTTCGAACCACTGACCTTAAGGTTCGCAGCCCAATTCGTAACCACTACGCTACCAAAGCTCCTTTGCATACAGTAAGTACTGAGAAATAAAGTTCTTATTATTTTTCTGAATGTCAAATGAGACACTGCACACTGCCCAGAACTCCAAGTGGGTGGGCCAGTCCCTTTTGTTACATGCAAGCAAGTCTTCAAGAAAGATTTGCTGAGGAAACAGTTCAGGACACTGGTTTGGAAGGAAATCTCCCCTATCAGAAAACAATCCAAAGTTAAGAGTCCTTTTGGCAAAGGGGTCTCAATAGACTAGGGGAAGAAACGACAGAAATGGTGGTTAGGTCTCTACTTGTATCCTGATAACAACGCATCCTACCACCTCAGGGGACCCTGGGAGAGCAAACCAATCATGTGGTGGACTTTGTCAGTGGATGCCCCAGGAGACACGGAGCTGCAGTTCTCTTCTCACCCATTTCTGTGGGAGACAGCCCAGGTTTGGGCAGGGCTGGCAGAGCTAACATCCCTTCCTATCTCTAGGCACTTTCCTACCTGATTCATTCCCAACATTACTTAGATTCCATGATATCTGGAATAGCTAGTTGCCATCCGCTGTCCCTGGCAACCCATGAAAAGTGATGGGGGACAGAGACTGGGATGGGATTCCTGTGTCCCAGTCTCCTCCATATCATTCCTTTCCATACTGCTGCAGCCTCCAGTGCTCTCTCTCTCTGCACCACCAGGCTTTGGGTGAGCTGCTCAGTCACTTGGAGCTTTAGTTGTCCAGTTTGTACAAAACAAGCTACCTGAGCAAACATTTCCAATAATGCTCTTGCTCAGAGTTTCCTTTAGGTGGGACTTAGTGTCTCAGGGCTTTTTGTATGTGTGTGTGTGTCTTAGGTAAGTATGAAGAATGGGATCTGGGAAAAAATCTGGAGGATGAAAGGTCTGATAGCCAGATCAGCTTCTCCCTTTCTGATCCAGCACCTCCTGGAAGCCAGTGTCTAAGAGTCACGTGTGAAGCCCACAGCAAAAGACCAGGAGACACACCACCTACTTTATGCTTCACTCTTGACCCAGGTAGTTTTGGCATACTTTGCACAAGTTGCTCCCAAATTGAAATCTCCTAAAATCATATTACCTGCATCTATACCCACCTGTTACATTACAAAGCAAGCTCACAGCAGAGGATGAGTAATGTGTTAACTGACACATCCAGGTGGAAGTCAGCATGCTCATTAACAGCAACAAGGAGTGCTTATGTGTGTGTGTGTGTGTGTGTGTGTGTGTGTGTGTGTGGTGGAGGGGGATGGTAGAGGCGGAGTTTGCTCCTGAGCCATAACCATCAAAATGTGGTCAAGTTTGCCCCTTAAGACTCTGGATGCTGCTAAGAAAACTGTGTATAAATGGTCACCATTTCCTGGGGCAAACGCCTAAAACACTTACCCCAACAGAGCAATGGGGCAGAAGTGATAAAACTCCTCACAGGAGAGCTGGTGTGAAAGAGAAAAAAGTGAGAGCTATGATCCTAATGTAAGATGCCACAGTCACCCAAGAGTCTCCCATCTCATCACAGCTCACCTCGTCCACAGTCAGAACAGGGTTCACAGCTGCACCCCAACAATGCAATGGTGGAGGAAGCATCGAAGAAGCCAGCTCTGTCCTACTAGTCACTAACAAATACAGCAGGAATAAGGCAGGTCAGATATACTCTAACAAATCCCATGCCTGAAGAATTCTGCCATATCTCATTAAAAAGAGAAAAATGAAGAAAGCGGGAAATTAAACAGTGACGTTGAATCAGAGATGGATGAGAGAAGTCAAGAAGGATGAGGACACAGATCCTAATGCTCCCATCCAGCTTGAAAAATACTGCTCAATCCAGAAAAGCTAAGAAGCCCAATCAGCTCTTGAAAATCAAGCGAAACACATAATTAGGTGGCGACCACCTTTTAAATTCCTCATCACCTGCAGACATTTCTTCTCGCTGTCACTTACACACACACAAATTCCTGGACACCTGAAGGATGGCCCAGGCGATATTACATTATGCTAAGACTAGTTCTAGAGATTTCTAGAAGGTTCTTCTTAAACATAACACGCTAAGAGGCAAGAGAATGGGGTTATTTCAAGGAAGATCCATGCTCAGGTTAATCTGTTTATAACCAGAGAATGGGTGTACCCTCCCCAAGAGACACATTATCTGTAAAACGAAAAAAGTCAATTTCCTATTTCTTCTTAACTTTGTTTCCAAACCTATGCATATCTTCTTTCTTCCATTATGTGCAGGAAAAATCCATAGCACGTTCTTCTATCTTCAATCATGTAGGTCTCTCCTGGGTTTTTTTTTTTTACATTTACAAAAATTTTTCTTATAATCTGAAATCTTTGTCTGTCAAAGCATCTGATTTCCCAACGGCAACCTTCGTGACCTTCCTTCTCCTTCTTTGCCACTTCCCTTGTTTGTCAATGTTCCAAGTGAAATTCAATAGGGAGGAGAGTTAGATGAGGACTTCCATCATTTCTCCATCAGGGAACTCAGGCTTGTGGAGCAAGCTGCTGACACGGCCTTTGTGGTCAGATGCCTTCACATGGCCAGGAGAATTCTCTGCCAAATAGAAGGAGAACATCAGAACAACTCACTCCTTACAAGGGGTGTGGGCTGCATGAGCTCTCTCTAATGGAAACACTTCAGACCCCACCACTCATCTAGAGTGTTCGCTTCCCACAGGGGAATGTAGGTAAGGCAACCTGCAATGGAGCTGGCTGTGGAGAAAAGCTAAGTGTTTCAAAGTACACACCATGGCTGACCCTGATGTTCAGAATCAAATAAAAATCATTCATTCATTGATGATGCATGGAGGAGATTGTAACCATGGCAATGAAATGATATACAAAAGAATGAATGTAAAACTAATGTTCTCCCATGTAAACTATCACATAACTCACAATAAAACAATTAAAAAAAAAAAAAAAAGGGAACCTAGATCCAGAGGGTGTGGAGGAAGGTAGAGTACTATCCAATCTGTCTAGGAAGGGCTGATGAAATGAAATGCAGATGGGTCTCTTGTGATGCAATAGTGAATAATTGTTATCAGGACTGATTGTGAGGGATGGAAATGTAAAGGGGGACATTTTACAGCAAAGAGGGGAGTTAACTTTTCAGTCTAGGAGTGGAGGTCCCTGGGACCATCAATGGAGAAGAGCGGAGAGCGGGGGGAATAAAAAAAATCATTCATTCATCAGGATGGCAATGGGAGATCCTTGAGTGGATGAAGGTGATGTTGGGACATTGTGGAGACACCTCACATTTACCCTTCCTTCACTCATTCAATCAAAACTGACAGGTGCATATTACCTGCTAGGGACTTTTACACACTCCTTACCCTACTTGGAAAAGTTCATCCCAAGAATTAAAGCTCCCAAAATGACAACATTGCATTTACTTTTGTGCTGTGAAAACACACCACCTTAGAGAAAACCACCTTAGAGAAAACAATTAATAAGTAAAAAACAGCTCCCATCTCTGCAAAAAACCAAAACACCAAAACCAAATTAACAAAACACCTCCTGAAGAGGGCTCTCCCTGCACCGCAATGATGGCTGTTGTTGTTAAGTGCTTTAGGGACCCTGTGTACGGTTGCCCAGGAGCTGCTGGTGGCTTTGAACCACCAACCTTGTGGTTAGCAGTCCAGTGCTTACCCTGTAGCACCACATTAGTTCTAACTCTAATTTCCTCTTTCTGCGGACACTTTTGGAGCCATCACAAAGCTCACTCCCTCCAAGCTATCTTCTCTTGTCTGCTCCAACCGAGCAACTCACTAGCATTGGCCCAAGGGCTATACCAGCAGTGAAGCTACTCTATCCTTCTCCTTTAATTAGAATGTGCCCCTGAACCCTGAATCCTTGACATGTAAATATAGTGACAGCAATGCCTGTGTCTGTGGTGTCTTTGAGTCCATGCCACTTGTAGCCACCTCATGTGACTGAGTAGAACTGCTCCATAGGGTTTCTTCGTCTGTAATCTTTATGGGAGCAGATCAGATTTTTCTCCCACAGAGCCATTGGGTGGCTTCAAACCACTAACCATTTGGTTAGCAGTTGAACGTTTAATCATTAAGCCACCAGGGTTCCTTCTGGTACCTGACACTAGCTCCCAAACATTTACAGGAACTAATTTTCTAACATTTCTCAGAGGATCTATTTTCACCCTTTCTGGGGAAGGGTTAGTTATAAAGCACACGTTGAAACGGTAAATGGTAGGTGCAGCTGTGTGCTCATCCTAAATGGAGTAATTCTAGGAGTGCCTTCGTGAAGCTTATTCTCACAACAAGAAGGGTCACACACTGAGGAAAACAATGATCATATTAAAAAAATCCCAGAAAGTGAGAACTGACCGATGCTCTAGCTCTTTCCCCAGCTCGACAGAAAACGCCCTCCCTTAGGCTGGAGAACACAATAGTTTCCAACAGTGTGTAAGAGCAGGAAGGAACCACATACCTGGCTTCTCTCCGGTGCCTCTGGCCCCGGGGTGTTTCAGGATGGGACTGTTAGAGGGGGTCATGCCCAGCCTGCTGCGAGTTGGGAGGGAGGCCATGTTGGGCCAGAAAAGTTCAGTGCTCTTGTCTGTCTGGGTGCTGCTGTCTTTGCTGCCGGTCTTAGCATGGGCGCTGTTGGCTGATGTGGCTGAAAGTGTCGGAGATAATGCTGAGGCAGGAGGGGTTGGCAACACGGGGGCTGAAGAATGCTCATAATGCTCCTTACCCAGCAGCACTCCTGAGGGTAGAAGGACAGCTTGTTCAATACCATCTTTTTTTTTTTTTTTTAAATAGTCTTGGAGATCATTTTCTTCTTGACTGAGGAATGTTTGATTCATTCACCAAGCATTTAATAAGAGTTTATTACGGGCCTGACAAAATGGCAAGCACTGAGAAAATTTTTAAAAAAGAAAGAAAAACAAGATCTGTAAATCTCCTCCCTCCATAACATCTACCAAATGGCATTGTGTCTACCAGGTGATGCTGCTGAGCCTGGTCCACTGAGCACACATTGTGCTAGGGGCGTCATGCACATGACCTCACTTTACGTTTCACAACCCTTCTGTGGGGTGTGGGCTTCCTCTGCCTTACACATACGAAAGACGGGAGCTCAGAGAAATGAAGAGCTCCTAAGTATATCCAAGCCCATCTATTATGCCTTTTCGCAGTTACCCTGCTTGTAGATGCCTGAATCTGAGGATGATGTTCTTGTGGGGAGTGTCAGACCAGGAAGCATCTCTCCTAGGGCCCTATTGAGCAGCCAGGAAGGTAGACAGTTGTCTACACCTTCTTCCAGAGTCCATTGGGAAGAAATGGTGAAACCCTTGGGGAACTTTGTATAAATAAGTGTTCCTCCCTGCCCCTGTCCTTGTGATACCTGGCACCAGTCAGTGAAGTATTCTTCACAGTACTAGGTGGGAATGCCAGTGCACGGAGCCCCGGGCCCTTGGATCTTAGGCCTGCTTTGTTGTTACTGTATTGTTATGTGCTTTCTAGTGTGGTCCGACTCATAGTGACCTTGAGCTCCAGGTTTCTAATGAGTGCTGGTGGGTTTGAACTGCCAAGATCTTGTGGTTAGCAGCCCAGTGCTTATCCTACAAAGCCACACCAGCACTCCCCAGGCCTGGTTGGGATGTGCCTGATACAGGGCTGAGTGTATGCTGGACATCCATCTGGTGTCTCCCAGGGAGGTTTCCATCAAAACGAACACATTTTCAATCTCATTCTCCATGCCTCCCAGGCGCTCTCATGGGGTCTGGAAGTGTCCTTGGGAGGGTCTTTGATGATCACATCTGCTGTCTACACACGTCCTCTTTGAAGTACATTTCCTCTGATGGAGGGGTTGTTGAAGTGACCCCATGGAGGGACTTCAAAGAGAGGTTCTGGCTGGAGCCTTTGATCCCCTAACTCTGTCCGGTACGCTCTTATCAACCCTTTGGCAGGAAGCAGTCAGACTCCTCTGGGGTTCTGTGCTGAGAAAAGCTGGCTCTCAGCTCCAGAGAAACAAAACACATGCTGACCCGGGTAACGCATCCAAGGGCCAGCCCTCTGGAGCTGCCAGAGTGCGGGAGAAGAGTGGGACATGTGTCTGGGAATGCTGCCCACACGCAGGGCTGGCTCTGCTGCCTCCTCAGAGTCATATCCATTAGCCCCACCCTCACCCCAGGAAACCCCTTCATGGCTAAGAGCACATTTGCCCAATGCTCCTCAAGGTCCTGCTTGTACAACAATACAACAAGCACAACCACCACTAACCCCTTAGGTTTCACAGCACTTTGTCCATATGCTTTCTCCCATTGGCTCACTTGCCCTCACGCCAACACCACATGGTGAAAGCCGAGCAGACATCACCCTTCTTTTCTAGGCGCAGAGAAGGAAGCAGAGGTGGAGGAGTCATATAACTGGTTGGTTACAAAGTCAAGTTCAGAGTTCTGATGACTCTGGGCTTTTTCCTATTTATGTTGTAAAAATGGCCTCAACTTTTACCAATAATGGATAGTAACTGGTGTGGTACTGTGTGTGGGTTAACGTGCCAAACTGCAAAGCCATTTGAACAGCAAGTTCAGCAGTTCAAGCTTACCAGCTGCTCCTCAGAAACCTTATACAGAGTTGCTATGGGTCGGAACCAACTCGGAACCGACAGGACTTAACAACAAGTCAGCCTAGGGCTAACAGCTACTCCAGTGGTATAGCTTTTAGAAGTGACATAGTGCTTCCAGGAATGGGCTACCAAATAAGCATGCAGTGAAACCCAGGTAAAGTTGCTCACTACAGTCCAATAAAGTAAGCATGAGTAAGGCTGTGCTTACCTTACTGGGTAACCAGACACTGAGTGCTTCCACATAAGCCATTTAGAATCTATGACCAAAGTATGAATTATTATTTCCCCCATTTTACAGATGCGTAGACTGACACTTAGAGAGATTCAGGGTGTTTCCGTGCCCTGTGAGAAGTGAAGCCAGGACACCACACAAACAAGTGTTAAGACTCTTTCCCCCCTGTCAGTGATTGGGTCTGAAGAGCTTACTTTTTGGATCAGAGACTGAAAGGAAGCTTGAAGCTCACCTATGCTTCCCTTCCAGGTCTTCTCGTCTTTCTTCTCTTCGGCCAGCTGGCTGCTGGTAAGAGAGGTTTGGCGGGAGTGCGTGCCAGCAGCTGCCGCAATGGATGGGACTGAGCGGGCTGGCCGCAGGCTTGAGGAGTCTGTCTTCCCAGCATCTTTACGGGATCGCTGCTGAAGGACCTTAATCATGGCATCCTTCTCTATGATTTTGGCATGGAGATTTTTAATACTGTAAAATAAAATAGTCATAATAAGAAGTCTTTGGTTAAAAAAACAATAATAAATATGGTTAGAAAAGCTTGAAACAATTCTCTTAGGTGGTGCATAGGATTTTAATTATAATCAGCAATGGAAGGCCAAATGCTGTAAAGTCGTCAAACATTTAATTATCTCCAGATGGTATACAATGGCTCTGTCTATCATAGCAGATCAAAAGGCTGCCCTTTCTCTGGCACCTCTGGTAACTTAGGACTTGCTGGAAGCTGAGGAGGCAGAGTTAGAATGACTGGAGCCACCTCCAGGGACACACATAGAGGGTGTAGCACTCCTGGGAAGAAGCAGATAGGGAAGTACTGACGACTCAAATAGTACAAGCTTCCAACTAAATCTGTGAGCAAAAAAATCAAAGATGATCAAGGTTCTTGGGAAGAATATAGGCTGACTCAGAATCCACCATTGGTCCAAAAATAAGAAAGGACTAGAAAACATTTAGGCTCTTTTCACAACTCTGGTAGTAACTCTCTGGGCCTATCAACTACTTGGTCCTGTTTTCACATCTATATAAAATCCATAAAATGAGGGGTACAGACCCTGAGAGGTCACGGGATGGGGTGGGGTGGGGGACAAGCTAATTTTACTATGTCACAAACTTATTAGAAATCTTGTTTAATCCAAAAGTAGATAGTGTTAGCTAATAACTTTGTTGTATTTGGCTGGAATATCTAAATTCTGGCTCAAAAATGCTGGGCTTTTGGGATATATCTGCTTTCCCTTTTCAGCTGCTTCGAAGTATCTAGAGAGACACTCAGAAACGACATGGGCATTTACATTCTTGTGTCATTACACCTGGCCTCCACTTTATAAATGGCATCTGACATGAAATTATCCCAAAGAGACTTCTGGCACCATTTGCCAAGGGTTGAGGCTCTCTCTCTTCTCTCCAGAGCTGAGCTGGAGGAGGAAACTCTTTGGAGAGCTGAAGCTCACAGCCATTCAGACAGGGTAGCAGAAGGAGCTGGAATGGGAGAGTGCAAATGTGCAAGTTGGGGACTCCTGTGGGGATGGGGATGTGCTGTGAACAAAGCTGTCCTTACGTGTACTCCATGTCCTGACACCTCCTGTGGGTCTGCACCACCTCTTCTTCCTCTTGCCAGATGCGGGACTCCAGGGAGCTCTCACCATAGCTGCCGTTCCGTGAGTGGTTGATGATGTTCGTGTCCCTGACAACACAGGATACCCTGGGATCACAGGAAAGCCTGCTTGCTTTGTTCAACACAGAGCCAGGACACAGGCTGGTGTTCACAGAAACCTGCTCCCTCCTCCTACTGACTGATAATGACAACAGAGTTCCACCTCCACCTCCCCTGTTTAGTTAATAGACACAGAGGCTAGATGGCCAAGTGCCCCACTTTTCCTCTCCTACGCCTCCATATTCCTGAGAAAGTATCTAAAGGAAACAAATATAATTAAAAAAATCAAGATTCCCTTACCCCTTCTAATCACATTGTGTCTCTGACTTATAACTGGGTCACATTCTGACGATTCTCCCCTAAGTTGGTTCTGATGTAGGTTGGGTACCTCATTTTAAAAAAATGTTTTCATAGCCTGTTCTATGTAACAGTGTTTTGAACAGTAAATCATAACACTGAACATTTGAGAATAAGAACACAGCATGTAGTACATATTGCTAACTGTAAGATGTACCCAAAAAACAAAATCACACCATAGATGGATGTAAGTAAGTGTGGTTTGTGGTAACTTAGATGCGTCATAAGTCAGGGACTACCTGTATTAAGCTATCTGGCATGTTATGAATATGGAAATCTCATACTTACAGCTTTACTCTCTCATGTGGATTTTGTTATTATCATGTTTGTTGGTGTTTCTACACCTGCTGTGTGCCAGTTCTGACTCAGTCACCCATGTGACTGAGGACCATATCTCTTTGTCTTTCTCCCACAGAGAAGCTGATGGATTAGAACCACCAACCTTTTGGTTAGCAGTTGAGTGCTTAATCTCTGCACCACCAGGACTCATTTCTATATGCATACTCTTTCATATTTACTAGTTAGATTTTTACTTCCATTTATCACTAGGCAATATCAATTTCAGTATTTTACAATCAAACAGGAGTTCAGTAAATATTTTTGATTAAGTATATCATCTTGGGCAATGAGAGTCTTCCTTCACCTTGCATTCTACCTCACACCTTGGTGTTTGGGCTGCTTCCCACGATTCAGGTCAGTTCAGTGTAACAAAGGTGCTAGGTGTCAGGATAAAAGATGCAGAGGAAACATTCATCCTTGAAAGGCTCAGGTAAGGTGGGTGGGGAGAAGGTGGAGACAGAGATTCAAAATAAATTAAGCTGGAAGCAGGTGTCGACTGAAAATAACTGATCAAAAATAACTATTCCTGTCTCTGGTTTTACCAATTTAATTGCTCCTAATTAACAATTAATAAAAATAACATAATTGTGTCATCTAAGTGATGATCTTAGATTGAAAGGCATATGATGTCTCTAATTATGTGAATTAATAAGAAATGATTCACCCAAACATGTCACATCCCTTAACTTCACAACACAATATTAGAATTACATTTGAAATTTTTTCTTTTCTAGAAAACAGAAAAACAAAAAAACACCAAAAAGGCCTTTGTCCTTTTACTCATTTTAACAAGAGCTTCTAATTCATGAGCATTTACTTGATATCAGGAGTTGGGTAAAGCAGATCACCAAGGTATCTCGCTGACTCTTCACAACAATATAAGTAATATTATTCCCATTTACTAAATGAAAAAAGGAGCTCTGGTAGGGTAGTGGTTACGAATTGAGCTGCAAACCTCAAGGTCAGCAGTTTGAAATTACCAGCTGTTTCGCAGGAGAAAGATGAGGCTTTCTGATCCCATAAAGGTTTACAGCCTCAGAAACCTTATGTAGGGTCACTGTGAGTCGGAACCAACTCCAGGGCACATCACCACCACCACCACCAATAAATAAAGAAACTGGGGTTATGTGACATTTCTAAGTACACTTGAGTAATAAATGGTGGAAATGGATTCAAATCCAGACAGCCAAAGGCCATACATTCCCTTCAGCATTAGTCTCCACTCCTGGATGCTTTGGTTGTCATGAAGGAAGTATTGGCAAAAATGCATAGATTTCAACAAACCAACTAAGGCAACATGTGAGAATGTGGCTACACAAAACAAAATTATGGCTGAAAAGAAACCATACAGTCAAATAGTGCAGAATGCAACAAAATGCTTGAAATATACTTGTTAAGTGCCGTCGAGTTCGTTTTGACCCATAGCGACCCTATGTAGGGTTTCCAAGAAGCTGTGGGTGAGCTTTTTATAAAAGTATAAATTCATTCTAAGGCACACAAAAATTATTAATATAGGAATCAATGGCTAGACGCACTAATTTTCAATCAATTCAGTTATGGAGAATTTGCTTAAGAGTTAGAGACATATTTAAAAATTCATGTTTAAAAGAACAGAAAATACAAGTTCAGGGAAACAAGTTAGAAATGCAAACACACAAATCTGGAAAAAAAAATCATTACTTTGAAATTTGTAAAAAGTTGCAAAATCTTCCTCAAACAAAAAATTACCCCAACCCTCTCAGAATTCTGGTAAATGGCTCCAAAATCTATAAAAGATAGCAAAACCTATTGACACATAAAAATTATTTGTTAAAAATCATTGCTTATAAATGTAAAGTATGTGCTACTTGATGAAAAGTCACAAAACTAATGGCTAGAAATGCTCATTTGATCAATTTATATCTGCAGCCATTTAGCATGTAGACAAGAGCTCAGAACTTTGACCTTTCCCCCCAATTTTAATTTTCCTGTTCTCTCCTTCTTTTGCAATGCTGAAATTATAGAGAGTTTCTTTGAAAATAACATTAAGATTGGAACTATACAAAACTTCTGAATTTATGTTCTGCCCTGAGATTGAGGGAAAAGAGTATATGTAATGGGAGAGTAATTTTCCATAGAACTATTTGATGCCCAGTAAGTATATGTGAAAGCAAGAAAAAGGGGGTAAGGGAAGGATGGTAGAAAGAGACTCCATCCATTCATCCATCCATCCATTCATATAGGACTCAGCACTCGACTACTACCTAAAAGGAGGGAGGTTTGAATCCCCCTAGCTACTCTGGAAGGGAAAGACCTGGTGGTCTGCTCCTGTAGAGATGACAAACTTGAAAACACTGTGGGGGCAGTTCCACTGTGTCACACAGAGTCACTGTGAGTTACAATGGACTTAATGGCACCAACAACAGCAACAGAAGAACAACAGGTTTGGGTAAACCCTATAAAACTCCTGTTATGGGGGGTGTAGAACATTTCCCCTTGCATGAAGGATGATAAACAAGGCTGGACCTAGAATAGTGTCTGTGGGTGATTGTTTGGGGTCTATCTAATTCTATTTATTCCTCAAGTAGTCCCCCAACCCAATATAGGGGTCTATGCTTCAGATCTGTCCATTCCTCCACTTCTGATTTCACATTCCAGTCTCATCCATCCCTGCAGGGTCGTGGATACCAAACAGACTTCAAATCCAACAAACAAACAGGAGCTAAGATGATGACAAATAGACTCCTGCGACATCCTTTCAAGGTAACAAACTTAAACTGCTTTTTCTTCCAGAGGAATGTGACAGGGGGCTCCCTGCTCTATCAAGAATCACATTTTCCATTTCACACACGAGGAAGCTGACACTCAGAAAGGCTTGTCCAGGATCACATCCGCATCAGTGACAGAGGGAAAAGCTTTGACGACTGGAGGGTTCTTTCCAGGGCAGCATGAGCAGCCAGTGTTAGCCCAAAACTGGCTAAGAAGGCCATGGCACTCTGCAACTTTATGATGCTCTTTCTCAGTGATTGAGTTATTACCTTAGAAAACGAACATAAGAACAGTTCCAATTATCTAAAAATTCACATATAGTTCAAAGGGCTTCATGTTCTCACCTATATATCTCAGGAATGAACTGGAGGCTGCAGCCACCCTCCTGTTTGCAGATCACAACTTCCCATCAACTCTCAGATCACCATTCTGGGGCTTGACTATGCAACACATGTCTAAATGTCTATTCCATCTCCCAAAGTCCCACTCAGATGGAATAGCGTGGGTTATTTTGCCTCACAGCATAGACATACACAGATACAACACTTGGGCTCTAGGAAGAAGCTCCCAAATTGTCATTTTCCATATGAGGCTGCAAGTCTTTTTAGTTGGGAGTATGTTGAGATGCCCAGTGAGGCATCTGCTTTTTCGCCAAATCCTGGAAACAACATCTGGCCACACTGCTAGTAATTCTTCTCTGCTTGAATATGACAACCCATAAATAGCTTATAAAGTATCTTCCTATCCCAACAGACCTTCTCATACTCATTAAGGCAGAAACAGCATGTCCCAAGGAGATGGTTGGTATGTGTAGGGGGAGGTGAAGGAGGGGGATACTGACTATATAACCTTGGCATCCTTAAGTCTTTTATTACCTTGACTGGTTTTAGATCCTGTCATCCCAAATGGTCCAAAAATAGATCCTATGAAGAAACTCAATTTTGTTGAATTTTAAGCAACTCTGAATTAACACCCAATAGAAAAAGAGCACACGGAGTAGGAAGTAGCAAGGGGCCTGATTGGTCCAATGCACAGTCACTCCAAATATGTGCACAATAATGCCTGCGTATGAGATCTAGTAATTGCGAAGCTATTTTGCCTGCAACAGACAACAGTGTGTTTTCATAGACATGGGGTGCTTTCTGTGAATTACTGCACATTTTGAACTAATTTTTTAAAGAAAGAATAAGGCTGTGCTCCTACAACACGGAAATAAAGCAACTGATGTAATAACAGACAGATCAGAAAATGGTCTCGAAGTCAGAGAGGTCTGAGCTTGACACGTGGCTCCATCTGCCAGCGTGATTTAGGGTCAACTCCAAATGTCTTCTGAGCTTCATCGATAAAAGGCTGTTATGAGGATTACATATACTTCTTGTTTGGCCTATTGCATACATCCAATGTTAAACAAACAATTATAGAATGTATGTTCACAGAATCACTCTTAATCTATAGTCATTACTACATATGGCTATACTTTAAATTATTTAATGAGCCCCGCCTCCCCCACCCATGGGCCCTTGTTGTTGTTAGACGCTGACAAGTCGGTGCCGACTCATAGTGATCCTATGCACAACAGAACGAAATACTGACTGGTCCTGTTGTTGTTGTTAAGTGCCACCGAATCGGTTCTGACTTATAGCCACCTTGTATTGAGTTTCTGAGGAGTGGCTGGTGGGTTTGAACCACCGTCCTTGTGGCTCAGCCTGACCTTATGGTCAAGTGGATCATCCTGCAGCGCTATACCAGGAAATCAATCCTGAGCCATCCTCAAAATTGTTAGATTGGAGCCCAGGTTGGACCCTAGGCTGTTTTAAATGTCTTGATATTTTCAGCAACACTGGAAACAAACATCCTGAAACATAAATCTCCAGGCATTTATATAATGCTTTCTTAAGATAAAGGTCTAGCACGGAAAATTTGGTACTAAAGGGGAGGTTGTTGCTGTTGTTGTTATGTGCCGTGGAGTCGATTCCGACTCATAGCGATCCTGAACAGGGTTTCTGAGGCTGTAAATCTTTACGGGAGCAGAAAGCCTCATCTTTCTCCCATGGAACAGCTGGTAGTTTTGAACTACTGACCTTGAGGTTCACAGCCCGATTCGTAACCACTACGCTACCAGAAGTACTTCTTGCCAAATTATCCTCCAGAAATGTGACAGCCACCATCTTGCTCTCCAAATCAGCACTTCTACTGGTTTTACATGTTCACTGAGCTCACTCCAGTGATGGGGGCGGGGGGGGGGAAGACCTCTTTGGATAACTAATGTTTTTTATAACCGACAAATTATGCTGGCCTCACCTCTCAGCTGCAGCAGTGGCGGCAGCGTTCATGGCAAAGTGTCGAATGGTGCTCTCCTCCAGATACTTCTGCTCCCACTTGGTCATGTCGGCCTCCAGTGCTAGGATCCGCTCCTCCTTCTCCCTCACCAGTTCCAGAAGGGCAGGGGCATTGTATTCTGGCATGCTGGCTGACTGGCCATTCCCATGTTTCTGGACAAGTAGGGGAAATAATACCTGAATGCTTAAAATGGGCTATAAAGTAGACATAAAACCACATCTACATAGCTATCTACATAGAACACACCCTCCAATTCATGGTTGTTATGGATTGAATTGTGTCCCCAGAAGATATGTGGAAGGAGATATGTGGAAGGAGACTGGTAGCCTATAGTTGTATGACCTTGTTTGGGGAAATAGGTTTTTTGTGGCAGATGTTACTGCTAGCCAGGTCAATGGGTTTGTATCAGAGTAGAGTGGGTTCTAGTCCTTATTACTTCTGAGTAGTGTCTTGTAAGATGGGAGACCAGACACAGAACAGAGACACACAGAGGAAGCAGAGGCTAGGTGAAGATAAGCGCCAAGGAACATCAAGAAATATTTGGAATTACCAGAAGCTGGAGAAGACAAAAAAAAGGGTCTTCCTCTAGAGTCTGCAGGACAAACCTAGTTTTGTTGACATCCTGAGCTCAGCCTTCTAGCCTCCAGAACTGTGGGAATCGTTTCTGTTCTTTAAAGTCACTCATTTTGCTATAGGAGCCCAAGAAAACTAAGCAATGGTTCACATTATCACTACTCACTGCCTTCCTCTCTCCCGAACATATAAACTGAACTCAGTGGACCCGATGCCAAGGTACTTCAATCTTAATTCTTGGCGAAACTCTGAAAACCAGACAATAGGATCCCAATTGCATACAAGAGAGAACTAAAGTTCAGAGAGGTAAAGTAAATTGCTTAAGGTCTATCAGCTAGTGAGTAACAGGGCCATGATTCCAACTTGAGTTTGTCTGATTATATAGCACAAGATGTTTGCAAGAGAAGAAGTAGGGTCACCACAAGTTGGAATCTACTCCAGGGTAACTGGTTTGGTTTGGTTTTAGGGTATTAACTGAACTGTTCACTATCTAAGGATATTTAAGTTTTAGTTTTTAGTTTTTTGCTGTTGTTGTTTTTAATTCAGGTATAGACTTTCCTCTAAACAACATGTCTTAGAGGACTATGGGTTTTGAGGAGGTCTGAGGTCTTAAGGTTAGGAGCTCCAACCCCAGTTCCAAGCCAGGCTCCCTGGTATTCTTCATAGCTATTCTGTGTCCTGGAACATACTTTCCTTTCCTGTTTCCCAATGATCACTAATGTTAAATGCAGACCTGGTTGCAAGGTGAGAGCTTTCTGACTGCCTTACCCCAAACCATAGAATACCTTAGATTAAGAAAAGAATGAATTACCTATGGCAATAATCGGGCAGTTGAGCTGCACAACAGAATCTAATCCTACTACAGAGAACAAATAAGACCAGGGGCTTTGGGTATGCAATATGTTTTTATCTAATTTTTAAAAGCTACACATACAAATTATCCTAGTAAGTGGATGCTTTCCTATGACCAGTATTTAAGCAAGAATACAGCAGAAGGCATGCATGTGTCCTTATCTGACCTGTCCAGGAAGTCACTGTAACCCCTGGCCCGGCACTCTGATTCAGGCAGGAGAACAAATGAACCAGTACATTGAGATGAGAGGCTTCTCTATTTTTAGAAATGTTCCAAGAAAAAGCTTCCATGGCCCCATTAAGCTGCCATCTATGCTTGTCAGTTATGATGGAACCCCTGTATTGTCATCTAAGGTGGCTAATTTTTGCAGAATCCTCTTGAGCTCACATGAGATCATAACGACTCCTCATAGGGCCCCTAATGCAGTCCTGGGGAGTTATCTAAATACAGGCATGGAGTTCAACATTCAAACTACAGAGCTAGCTCAGACTCATGAGTAAGTGGGGCCAGCCAGAAAAATGGACTAAGGGTCAGTAAAGGTAGTTCCTACTGTCCATTCAGTGAGCTGGCAAATACTAACTGAACATGTATCATGTGCTAGAGGTAGATACAAGAGGGTTTCAAAAAAATTGTGGGAAAATGGAATTGAAAGTTAATGGCCCCATCCAGAACCTTCTGAGGTGGGACATCCCCACTAGAAAGTACAAGCCGACCAGCCTAGAACAGCTACAGTGACAGAAGATGTTTCAAAGAAACATCATCAGGAAAAATTCAAAACAAAAATGTCAGTATGACTGGCTACTACAAGAATAAGCAAGCTGTTCTCCAGGAAGCCATCAAGGCAAGCAATCAAGTTCCTTCAGGACAAACCCCCCTCTAAGACTGAAACTCAAAGGGAACACATGAGCAGGCATGTAAGCTTGCTGGCGACCACATTGGTCTACTGGTGACTGGAAGAGGGGGAAAGGTAGCAATGAAGAAATGGGCTGAGTTCAACCACAGTCCATTGACTCCCGTTGACCAGGAGATGAGAGAGAGAAGAGGAAGGGATGGTTAGTTCAAAGTGTGGTGAGACCTGGGGACACTTGAGCGCATGGACAAAGACATAGCCACAGCTGGAGCTGAGAGTGAAGCATCAGCTGATATGAAGTGAGGGGAGATGCACAAGAACACCCAAACTTGCAGATATACCCATTTGACGTATCCTCGATGGCTTAATAATCAGAACTCGACTAGAGGAAGATACACAAACAAACAAACAATTTTTGATAAAGGAAACAAGGGTAAATTGCTACAATTTGATGAACCTGACCTATACTCATGGAGGTAGTAATTCTAAATACCAACAGAGAGGGAAGGCATCTTCACATCAAGTATCAATGCTATCCCCTCTGTACACAGGGTAGATAGGGATGGGCAATTTAGACATCCCTAAAATGAGGGGGTGATAAAGGCACCAAGTGACTGGTTTATAAGGTTTCAAGGGGGAGTTTAGTTTAATAGTGTATGGGGAAAGAAAGAGTCCCCAGTGAATAGATTTCATCTTGTCTAGATGGGTCTGGTGAAAAGAGATGGGGATAAGATTCTTATGATTCAATAGTAAGTAATTGTTATCATGACTAATTGCAACTTTCACAATTGTAAAGGTAGAAGTTTTTAACAAAAACAGGGGAGTGGTTAATCTTACAGTCCAGAAACAGAGTATCCTAGGATCATCAAGGGAGAAGAGCACAAGTGGAATGCAAGCCCTTATCCAGAGAAGCAGCCACGCCAAAGATGGAGGCAGAGATGAGAACATGGAGAGAGGGAGCAGCTGAGGACTCTAGTTTCATGGGAAGAGAGGGACTAAGATCTGGCAGCCAGGAAGAAGACTTACAGAATGTGCTCTTTGATGGTGTAAATTATTATATATGCCTGAGTGTTAAAAAAAAAAAGAGCTAAACTGAATAGAGAGAAACACTGTTAACCTGATGGTACATGGAGGGGATTATAATCATTGTAATGAAACAAGGTGCATGATTTGTTGAATGTAAAACTGATGATCTGCCCTGTAAACTTTTTACTCAACCCACAAAAAAACCTTAAATAAAAAAATAAAAAAGAACATTAATGGCATTTTTCTATGAACTTTTTGAAGCTCCCATGTACAGCAGTGAACAACAAAGAGCAAATCACTTAGTTACATGATCTTGGGTTTCCTAACTTCTTTGTGCCTCAGTGCCTCCTCAGGAACATTCCCACCTCCTCTCACTTACCTTACTGGACTACTGTGGATGTTAAGACATACAAACTTTACTTTCAACTCTTTGTAAAGAAAAGTAAAAATGAGAATTAAAAAATAAATAAATAAATAAATGTCGATTTTCCACTCTTTTATTTCTCTTTCACTTCCCTCTCAACTTCTAATGATGCCAAAATTTTACATGCCACTTTCTCAGTAAAGATTACTTATAATAGCAAGAGTCTGTTAACTGAGATCTTCCTTTTTGTGTGAGTCCTTCTGTCCTGTCCTGTCTTTCCTCTTCCCTCCATCAGTGATACTGTGTCACCTTTCTTCAGTGGGACTGGAAGCAGTGGAGTATGGGAAGACTTTGAGGGAGGCTACCAAGGATGGCCTACGCCTTCAAATGACTCTTAAGATGATGATAATAAGAACAATAACTACTCCTTCAACATGCCCTAAGTCTCTGCCTGTGATAAGCCATTATGTCGGTTGTTCTTATTTAAAGTGGCAACTATGGATTAAATATAATTTACTGCCCCCATTTTCATACACAAAGGTGGTGTTGTGTGGTGAGGCTAAGTGCAAGGCTGGTAGTTCAAACATACCAGCCTCTCTGCAGGAGAAAGATGAGGTTGTCTGCTCCCATATAGATTCATAGTTTTGGAAAACCTATATAAACTCTTATAGGGTCCCTATGACATGGAGTCAGTTCGAGGACAGTGGGTTATTTGTTTTTCTTTGCTTTTTAAATTTTATAGACAAGGAAGTAGAGTGTCAGAAAGATTACTTGCTTGGGGTCATCACTTTCCTGCAGAAGGAGATGGAATTTAATGTGGGTTGGTCTGACCTCCTTGAAGCCCATGTTCTGAATCAGTGCATGATTCTAGACTACTCTGTTCATCTCAAGTATACCAACCTTTCTGGAAGGTTCCAGGCACCTCTCAGGAGTAACTGGAGCTCATTCGGGGTTTCTAGCTGATAGCTGGTATTACATCAACCAGTGCCTAATGTACTTTCTCAAAAGTCTGTTCCGAATAGTGCCCCATGGGATGCGGCAAGGCAGTGTGGCACGGTTCCTTGGTTGATGGTGGAAATGAGGAGAGCTTTGTCATAGTGTGACCTCAGTGCCCTCTCTAGTGGGGTTGTGTGGGCTGATAAATGCCTCATTGGCAAGGGGCAAAGGATCAGGCTGTGGTGTGGGCTGCAAAAGACTCTCCTGAGGTTGCCTCCATCCAAGTCAAGAAGTGGCCGGCCAGCAGATATTTGAGCTGCTCACAAGTGAGTTACGCAGGAGGTAGGTCAGAGGCCCCAGATACCCTTTCCTGGGACTACTGTCCCTTTCCTGAGGCCTCTGTACTCGCCACACCACTTTTGGGGTCCAGATCTGGTATCTAGGAGCACATGACTATGGCCAAATTTAACTCTCATGGAACAAATTTAAAGCTTAGTGTACTAGTGTGTGTTCACTGAGAACATTAGAAAGCAAAAAAGGACTAAAGGGAAAAAAATTAAAACTAATACTCATCATTTTAATGAGCAGACAAGAGTATCAGAAAAATCTTCCAGTGTAGTTCATATCACTGGAGACAGATTCATACTCTCATTCAACAAACAAAACTGTGATATTATTTTTAAGAAAATGCTCAGCAGAAAGTTTTGTTTAACTCTAAAGACTGTCTTCCCCTCCTGGTTCTTGAGTCAGTCACAAATAGCTGGACTGCGTGCTCTCAGTTTACCCCAACTCTGCAACACCTACCCCCCCTTGCATGGTATGCCTAAATCCATCTGCAGCCTGCAGGCACAGAAGGGATGCTGTGTTTGTGCATTGAAGAAATGACATGCATGAGCTTCTTTGGGTCTGAGGGTGCATACAGCGAGCTGTCTGTCCTCAGTGGCAATTAAGATCATTTCAAAGGATTCTCATGTGACATTTTTTCTTCTTGATATAGAACGAGGATAACTAGTTAAGTCTGGTTTCACAGCACTCAGGACAGAAGTTCCAAAGATAAATAATCTAACTGTAGGGGATTTGTTGTTGTTAAGTGCCATCGAGTTGGTTCCAACCCATAGCAACCCTGTATATGGTTTCCGAGGAGTGGTTGGTGAGCTTGAACCACCAACCTTGCAATTCAAACAGCTTTGCAGTCTGGCACACTAACCTACAGCGCCACACCAAGACTCCCACTGTAGAGGGTAGATGGAATATTATTAACAGGAAAAGAACATCCTTTTGCTCTAAGTATTGAAATGGGTCCACTTTGTCAGCAGGAGCCCTGTAAGTATATCTACTATGTGCTCAGCACTTTCCCAGGAACCAGAGAAAGCCCTGCCCTCAAGGAATGGGGGGGGGTGGGAGGGTGTCCAGGTTTGAGTAACTGAGCAACCAAAAACAGCTCAAGTATATAAGTGATTTAAGTACCAGCACAGGTTATAAGAAATTCAGAAGTTTAGAGAAAGAGAGACCCGTCTTTCTTTATGACATATTAACTAAGCCAAAATGGTGGTAGAGGGAGATTGCAGTGAGTTTCTTAATTTTCTGGGCCATCTCATTAACACCCCATTGTCTAGCAGTCAGGCACATACATCCAGAGAGAACTGCATGCACCTGTAATGTGAAAGTTTAGAGACTGAGCTGGCCTGATGTCTGCCTTTCACATGTTTCAACCACATTCACTATGCCCTATTCAATAGCTAATGTCACAGAGCCCTGCTGGTGTTTCACTGGTATCTCAATTCAGAGCGCACCCTTCATCAGCTGCAAAGGGTTTTGCTTATCACACTGGCCGGCAGGCTCACAGTGGAGCCCGGACTAGCACAGCAACACAGCAGTCCTGCAGGACATCTCCCCTCGCCGAGACACACACGCGTCCCGGATGGGGTGTTTAACTTAGTGAGCATTCAATAGCTGAGTTACAGTAACAGCTGTGACCAGTGCAGGATAGGCAGAAGAAATAGCTTATGGCCAATATAATTTTCTAAGGGGTCTTCCTAAACCCCTTCTTTTCCTTCACCTCTGAAAATTCACTCATCATGTATGATTTCACACCCACCCAGTTAACTAGTTGTTGTTGAGTCAGTTTGGACTTAGGGGTGTTTCCACATGTGTCAGAGTAGAACGGCTCTGCATTAGATTTTAAATAGCTGATTTTCTAAAGTATCTTGCCAGACTTTTCTTCTGAGGCACATCTGAGGCTAATCAAACCTCCAAGCTTTCGATTAGCAGCAGGATGTTCCTTCACCCCCTTAAATAAACCAAACCAAACCAAACCCCCTGCCATTCAAATTGAATTCTTTACCTCCATAGATTCCCACTGTACCCACAGCCAGAGTAAAAGCCTTCAGGCCAGCCTCCCTGACTTCAACAGGCCCCTCTCCACACTGTTCTGTGGGCTTCTCGCGCATCCTTTAGTCACATTCCTCTCCAGCTTAAAAGTTCAATAATTTCTACGTCCAGCTCAAATGTCCTCCTTTGTGAGGTCATTTAAAGCACAGTTCCCCTCCCCCATCTCTAAGTTTTGGCCTTCTGTCTCTAAGGACAGGGTCACTCCATAGTGAGTGAGTGGACACAGTTAGTTTTCTCCCCCGACACAGGAGCTGGTTCATGGAGGACACAGTGCAGTACTTGGCACACAGCAGGTATTCAGTTGTCTGTCAATGGACTGGTCTGGTTCATTGGTCTGCCTTACCCCACCCTTACCTGCTGGGTTCTCAGTGCATCCAGCTCTCTCTCCAGCCAGGTACGTAGTCTACGTTCCATCTGCTCTCGCTTCTCGCATGCAGACTGCAGCTGGGTCAGGGCCTGCTGCAGCTTCTCAACTTTCTCAACATACACTTGCTTCTCGCGTAACTGAACAGGAAAGAGTAAAGAGCATACAGCTTAGACCCATGGATGGTGGGGGTCACATTAACTGGAGATTCTGTTGAATCATGGACATGAGTTATACCTAACCATGCTAGGATATTTTTAATTTAAGACCTACTTGGGCACCTGCTTTTGGTCATTTGTTTTATAATACTCTGAGTTAAATGTTGGATTATTCCTCAATAATTATAATGTTTTCAGGCTTTAAAAAAGTTTTTAATTTCATGAAGAAATGCATATGTTATAATGTTAAATGAAAAGTCCAGAATACAAAGTTATATATAATATTATCAAAACTACACAAACATATAGGCATAAGACTAGAAGTACTTAGAGCATTAACCATGATTTTCTATCTAGCAGTATTTCTTATCTTTATTTTTCAAAGTCTTTATATTAAGTATAAATGGAGAAATTGTATAAACAATGTAGGGATTTCAGAAATTTATAGAAAAATACAATGACAATGGAATTTTTGAAGCCCCCTCATATACACATATTTGTGTGTATGTGAATAAGTACAAATTTTCTTACTATAAACATTTATGGAGTCATTTACCCCTAAAGATTTCAGAGCAGTTTACAAATGAGTAGTTGACAGCTCAGCTGAAGAGACAGGAAGGAAATAATAAATACAGCAACAGCAGGAAAGACCAATGATTTCAAACTTCTACTCGCAGACTTTCTTGCTGTTCAATTAGGCATTTGGCCCATGTTCACAAACCCTGGGTATATTTCTACCTTTCTGGGAATTGATTGATGCCAAAAAATAAGGCTGGGGCATTTGCAGATCTGGTCCTGGGTGAGAAGATACCTGATGTTATGGCTGTCTTTCTGTACCTAGGTGTGCAAGATGCCTTGTGAGTGATTCAGATCCGGAATTCAATGCCTAGTTACACGAGCACGTTGAAACATGCTAGTGATTTCAGAAGCTGCTGCTATGTGAGGTTTCTGATTCATAGGAAGCACCTCCATGAGCAGTGTCTAAATCGTATCCAAGATGCCACTGGATTGAAATCAAGGCACTTCTGGTTGTTCTAGGAGGAGCAGTGACTACATTTACATACAGCCTTGTCTAAGACTGCTTTGGGGATCATTTTCATCTATCCCTCTCAGTCATTGTGCTTTTGACTATGTAGTTCAATTGAATAGACATTTCAGGAGGTAGTAGGTGCAGGTCGCTGTGCTAGAGGATTAATTTAAGCAAACAGTTTGAGCACATTCATACACCAATTAGCATGTTCTACATGGTATTAGTTTTCTGGGTGCGCATCCACTAGAATATGAGTGTCTCTTTTGTCACCTGCAGGGTTCCCCAATGCCAGGCATCCAGTAGACATTCAATAAGTATTTGTTAAATTAACGGATTAGTAGTATCTCCACTTGACTGCAAAGGTGCTCTGGTGGCATAGTGGAATACACATTGGGCGGCTAACTCTTAAGTCAGCAGTTTGAATCCACCAGCAGCACCACAGGAGAAAGGTGAGGCTTTCTGCTTCTATAAAGATTTACAGTCTAAAAAGCCCTATAAAGCAGGGGTGGGAACATCTGGCCCACAGGCTGTATGTTGTTGTTGTTGTTAAGTCGTTTCCAACCCATAGTGATGCAGTAGAGTGTTTCCAAGGAATGACTAGTGAATTTGAACTACGGACCTCACTGTCCTGCACTTACCCTACAGTGCCACACCAGAACTCCTTATATAAATGCAATGAGAAGAAATTATAAGCAAATTCATAATTCTGACTTAAATGGACCTATTTTTAAGGACCTCCCAACTATTATTTTAATGCTGTCATTGTTAAGTTCCATCGAGTCAATTCTGACCCATAGCGACCCTGTATAGGGTTATAGAGGAACACTTGAACTTGAACCACCGACCTTGCAGTTCAAACGGCTTTGTAGTCTGGCACATTAACCCATAGTGCCACACTAGAAATGTTAAAAGACTTTTTTGAAAATTGTATTTTCTAGGCATTTGAGAAAGTCCAACACCCATTCCTGATAAAAGCTCTCAACAAAGTAGGAATTGAAGGGAATTTCCTCAACATAATTAGGAGCATATATACAAAATCAACAGCCAACATCACTATCAATGGAGGGAAACTGAAAGCATTTCCTTTAAGAACAGGAACCAGACAGAGATGCCCTTTTATCACCACTCCTATTCAAAATTGTGTTGTAAGCCTTAGCCAGAAATATAAGGCAAGAAAGGGAAATTAAAGGTATCCAAATTGGCAATGGTGAGTAAAATTCTCTCTATTTGCAGATGATATGATTCTACACATAAAAAAAACCAAAGACTCAGCAAAAAACTTATTGGAACTCATTGGAAGATTCAGTAAAGTAGTAGGGTACAAGATCAACATACAAAAATCAGTCAGATTCTTCTATACTAATAAAGACAGCTCTGAAAATGAAATTAGGTAAACAGTATCATTTAGAATAGCCACACAAAGGATGAAATATTTAGGAATAAATCTAACCAGAGACACAAAAGACCTATGCAAAGAAAGCTTCAAAACATTACTAGAAAAAAAAAAAAAAAACCAAAAGAAAATTATAAAAATAGAATATACCATGATCATGGATAGAAAGACTTAACATTGTGAAAATGTCAATTCTACCCAAAGCAATCTGCAGATACAATGCAATTTCAATTCAGATTCCAACATCATTCTTTAAAGAGATGGAAAAAATGATTATGAACTTTAAGTGGAAGGGAAAGAGACCTCAGATAAGCAAAGCATTGCTTAAGAGGAAGAACAAAATTGGAGACCTCTCACTCCCCCTGATTTCAAAATTTATTACATGGCCACCATGGTCAAAACAGCCTGGTATTGGTACACTGAAAGAGACATAGATCAATACATGAGAATTGAGAACCCAGAAGTAAATCCATCTGCATAGAGTCAACTGGTCTTTGGCAAAGGGCCAAAATCCATTAAATGGCGAAGATACAGTCTCTTCAACAAATGGTGCTGGCAAAATTGGAAATCGATTTTTAAAGGAATGAAACAAGACCCATATCTTACACTATATACAAAAACTAACTCAACATGTATTAACAACATAAATGTAAATCTCAGAGCTATATGCATCACCACTGAAAAAATAGGGACAAAAGTAAGAACTCTAATACATGGCATACAAAAACTATCAAACATTGCAAAAACACACAAACAATAGAGGACAAAACAGAGTACTGGGACATACTGAAATTTAGAAACCTATGTACATCAGAAGATTTCACCAAAAGAGCAAAAAAGGAGCCCACAGACTGGGAAAATTTTTTTGCAATGACGTATCCAACAAGAGACTAATCTTTAAAATGTATAGGAAACTACAATACCTCTACAAAAAAAGACACCCTATTGAAAAATGAAATGGACACAGGACATGAAGAGACATTTCACTAGGGAAGACATTTGGGAAGCCAACAAACATATGAATAAATATTCACTATCATTAGCCTGGTAGCGTAGTGGTTACGAATTGGGCTGCGAACCTTAAGGTCAGCAGTTCGAAACTACCAGCCGCTCCGCGGGAGAAAGATGAGGCTTTCTACTCCCGTAAAGATTTACACCCTCGGAAACCCTGTACAGGGTCGCTATGGGTCGGACCCGACTCGATGGCACTCAACAACAACAACAACAACAATCATTAGCCATAAGAGAGATGCAAATCAAAGCAATGAGATATTATCATCTCACACCAGCATTAATAGCAAAGCTCAAAGAAGCAGAGGACAACAAATGCTGGTGAGGGTGTACACAGACTGGGATTCTCCTATATCACTGTTGGGACTATAAAATGTTTCAACAAGTCTGGAAAACAGTACGGTGCTTCCTCAGAAAGTTGGAAATAGAAATAAATTATGATCCAGCAATTCTTTTACTTGGTATATAGTCACAAGAAATACAAGCCAGAACATGAGTACGTATATGCATACCAATGTTCACTGCAGCACTATTCATAACAGCAAAAAGATAGAGACAGTCTAAGTGTTCATCAATGGAAGAATGGATAAACAAACTTTGGTGCATACATACCATGGAATACTATGCTACCTGGAAGAATAATGATGAAGTGGCAAAACTTAAAATGGATGAACCTGGAGGACATTATGCTGAGTGAAATTAGTCAGAAACAAAAGGACAAATATTGCATAAGCCCATTATTTTAAAAGCTTAAGATAAGATTTCCATACTAAAAGAAAAATATTCTTTGATGGTTACCAGCGGTGGGAGGGAGGGGACAGTATAATTCACAGTTTAGGGGGTAGACACATAATAGCTCAGGTGATGGGGAGGGCAATATACAAGAAGCTTGAGGGGTTAGAAGAGCAAGGAAGATAGAGGAAGATTGAGGGAAGTATGCATGGGCTAAATGGGATAGAGGTAAATAGTGATGTATATACACAACCTTGGAACAACAGGTTTCTGTGATACAGAGATCAAGACGTAGTCAGAATGGGTAAAGGAGGGGAAATAACGTTAAGGTACTTGACTGTCTTTTGGAAATTGGTTTCCCCTGCTTACTATTGCAAAATAGACATTTAAGCAGGATAGAAAGGAATACTGGGAAATATGGTCATAGAACTCTTCTAAGCCCATCTTCAGCCTCTAACTGATTTGGATTAGCTACAAGGGGTACTAGAATTTGCCCAGGAAAATAGACTTTTTTTTAAGTCTTTGTGGAGTATGGGGCCTTAGGTGGAATCCTGAGTCCCACCAAGAACCTTCTGAGGTGGGACATTCCCGTATGAAAAGACAAGAAGACCAACCTGAAGCTGCTAGAGGAACAGAAGATATTTCTTGAAATAAAGACCAGCAGGGGGAGGAATAAAAAAAAGGAGACTGTTTGGCTTCTACATTATCAAGCAAGCTGTTTGCCTTGGAGCAATCAAAGCAAGAGAAGTCAGCCCATCAGGGTAAACCCCCTTCTAAGACTGAAACTCAAAGGAAACACAGAAGCAATGTTGTATGTTCGTTGGTGACCTCCTAGGTCTACTTGTGAGTGGAAGTAGGGGAAATGTAGTAATGGAGACATGGACTGAGTTTGGCTATGTTCCATAAACACCCACTGACCGAGATGACAGAGAGAACAGGAAGGGCTGGCTGGTCTGAAGTTCAAAGAAATGTGTCAACTTCTGAGCCTATGGACACTGACCTAGACACTGTGAGGTAGAGTTGAGAGTGAAGCCAGAGGCCACCTGATCTGAAGTGGGGAGAGGCGGGCAAGAACTCCCAAACTTGCAGATAGTACTCATGAGATCTAGCTTGGATAGCTTTCTAATAAAGAAGTTTGATAAAGGGAGCAAGCATAAATTGATACAATTTGATTAACTAAACTTTTGCTTGATAGTTGGATGTAGTTTTGGATGAAGCTGCTCAAAATTCTAACCAAAAGGGAAGGATTCTTCATATCAAGGATCAAGCTTGCCTCCTCAGGGCACTGGGTTGAACAGGCCGGGCAATTGAGTCATCATTATAAAGGCATAAAGTGGCTGGTTACAAGTTTTTATGAGTGTGCTTTGTATCATCAGAATGAAGGGGTAAGGTAGAATCACCACTGAATAGTGTTCCTCTTATCCAGCTGTGTCTGGTGAAAGGGGTTGGGGGAGAATGGGGATAGGAGTTTATGATTCAATTGTGAGGAATTGTTAGCAGGGATAATTGCAATTGTTACAACTATAAATGTAGAAGATGTGTAACTAAAAGGGGGGGGTAGTTAATCTTTCAATTCAGGAACAGAGGCCCCCAGGACGAGCAATAGGGAAGACCATGAGTCAATTGCAGAATCCTAGCTAGAAAAGCAGCTACAGCAGAGATGGTGGCAGAGGCGATGGCATAAGAGAGATAGAGCAGCTGAGGACTCTAGGCCCATGAAATGAGAAAGACTGTGCTGAAGGTAGGAGGCTAACTTGTAAAATGTGCCCTCTGGACATTTAAACAAATATATATTTTGTGGATAGTAAAGGAATAGAGGTAAATACTGCTAACCGATGGTACATGGAAGGGATTACAACAATGGAAATGAGATAAAATATGATTTGTTGAATGTAAAACTGAAGACCTGCCCTGGAAACTTGCACTCAATTCACAATCAAAGCTTTTTAAAAAATTGTGTTTTTTTTAATCCACATGGAGATGTTGTTGTTGTTGGTAAGTGCTGTTGAGTCAGTTCCAATCCATAGTGACCCTGTATAGGGTTTCTGAGGACCTTGCAGTCCAGCACATTATCCTGAAGTACCACAATAGAACCTCAATAAATGAGGTATGGGTTATACTTCAATGTAAAGAAAATAAAAATCCTTACCACTGGACCAGTAAATAACATCAAGAAAAATGGAGAACAGACTGAAGTTGTCAAAGACTTCATTTTGCTCAGATCAACCATCATTAGGCAAATATACGGCATAAGACCTTTTTAAAGTGTTGAAGAGCAAAGATGTTAGCTTGAGGACTAAGGTACACCTGACCCAAGCCATGGTATTTTCAACAACCTCATATGCATGCGCAAGCTGGACAGTGAATAAAGAAGATCATAGAAAAATTGATGCATTTGGGTTATGGTGTTGGAGGAGACTATTAAAAGTACCATGGACTGACAAAAGAACAAGCAAATCTGTGTTGTCAGAAGTACAGTCAAAATGCTCCTTAGAAGCCAGGATTGCCAGACTTCATCTCTCATATGGCGTTGTAGGATAAACGCTGGACTGGAAGGTTAGTTTGAACTGAAAGGTCAACAGTTCAAACTCACCAGCCGCTCTTCAGAAACCGTATGTAGGGTGGCTATGAACTGGAACTAAGTCAACGGCACTTAATAACAACAACAATTAGCAGGGACCAGTCCCTGGAGAAGAACATTGTGCTGGTAAAGTGGAGGGTCAGTGAAAAAGAGGAAGATCCCCAATGAGATGGATTGGCACAGTGGCAGCAGCAGTGGGCTCAGGACTGTAAGGTTAGCCCAGGACTAGGCAGTGTTTCGTTCTGTTGTACAGAAGGTCTCTATGAGTTGGACTTGGGTCAATGGCACCTAACAACAAGAAGAAGAGATTTCAGTGATGATGCTAATAAGGAGTCCTGGCCTCCCTTCCCCAAAGTAGGCCACCTGTCCTTAAAGGTTTGAAAGTTACTTTCTGTGGCAAATAAGTTCCTTTTCATAAAAAGAAAGATATTTAGTGACTAGCTTACAAGCTTTCAAGAGGGAGCCTAGTTCTAGAGTGGTTTCCAACCTGTCTAGATGGAGCTGATGAAAGGAGATGGGGATAAGACTCTTGTGGTACAATAGTGAATAATTACTAGCAGGACTGACTGTCAGTGTTGTAAATGTAAAGGTAGATGTTGTGTAACAAAAGGAGGGGAGTGGTTGATTTTGCAGTCCAGGAGCGGAGGACCCTGGGACCATCAAGGGAGAAGAGCAGAGTGCGACCCTACCCAGAGAAGCAGTGATGCCAGATATGGAGGCAAAGACGATGATGTGGAGATATGGAGCAGCTGGGGACTCCAGACTCAAGGAGGGAGAGGAGATGCGTGCCGACAGCCAGGGGGACCAGGATTGCAGGGTGAACCCTTTGGTTGCTTGATGAGGCATGGAGGTGATTGGAATCATTGCAATGAAATGAAATATGATAGGATGAATGTAAATCTAATGTTCTCCCTTGTAAACTATCACATAATTCACAATAAAATCTTTAAAAAAAAAAAAAAGATACTTAGGTGTTGTTGCCCAGCCCCTCATCTCTGTATTAAAATTGAAGTTTCTACACAGGACTATGGCGCTGTGGGCTACTGCATCAGACTGCAAAGTCGTTTGAACTGAAAGGTCGGTGGTTCAAGCTCACCAGCTGCTCCTCGGAAACGCTATACAGGGTCGCTATGGGTTGGAATCAAGTTGATGGCACTTAACAACAACAACAACAACACAGAGCTAAGGCATTGTAGGATAAGCATTGGATTGCAAAGTTGACAGTTCCAACTCACCAGCTGCTCCTCAGAAGTCCCATAAAGGGTCTCTATGAGTTGGAACTGACTTGAAGGCACTTAACAACAATGGATAAGACACTAATTTGCTTCATTCTGGCCGCTTTATCCTTGAAGATTGCTGAGACATTCTAGTCACCTGGTATCAGGAGACACTGTCTAAAGAGACAGACCTTTTTTTTCAATACCAACATCAATCAGGTATTAACAATAGTGTTTTCTTTGTGCTCAGCACCAAGCTAAGTATCTTACATAGATAACCTCACTTAAGTCTCTGAGATTTGAAGTTTCTGCTTTCCACAATGGATCGTGCATAGACCAGCTCCTTACAACAGGGGTTGGAAAGTGTCTGTTCAGTGAGATATCTTTTCATTTTCTGTCACTGTGACTACAGCCTGGACCTCAGAAATGATCATTCTAATTCCAGTTTAAAGGAGAGGTCTACCTGGAAAGACTTACCTAAAGGTTTGATTTCATCAGAAACCACTAAGCCCATAATGCTTGAATGTGATCAAAATTACCTGGATGGGAGGAAAAGGGTGTCTCAACTTGGCTGAGTCAACTTTTGGAAACTTGACAGAGGCTTGTAAATGCCAACCCCACTGCACGCCCTTCAGAAGACTTGGTCTTTTTTCTATGCGACTGAGAAAGAGTCCAAAGACACAGCTATTGAACTATTATGAAAAAAATTTAGACATTTTTGTGGTTTCCAGTCCTTGCACTTATTTCCAGTCCTGGGCACTCACCAACCAATGGGTTGTCGGCTGGATTTTAAGCTGAAAGTAAGCTCTTTGCTGATGGTATTTCACATATTCATACTTAGCCTGGCTCTGGGTTGGATGAAGTTCGTTTTTATTAATTTTTATTTGAGAGGCTCCCCACGACACTCCTGTCTCTCAACTCCTTGGGATTGGCTCTGGTTCAATTGGTAGCTGGAGTAGGAAAACGGAATGGAGGCACTCTGGGCTCTGCCTCTACCCATGGAGCCTGGTCTCACCTCCTCTTCCAGCTTGATGACCTTGGTTTGGGCATTGCTGAGAGCCTGGTCCAGGATCTCGACGTGTCTCCGGTGGTCCTCACTGGCAGTACGCACTGCTGCCAATTCCATTTCTAGCTTCTCCTTTTCCTTCAAGAATTCTTTGTCTAGAAGGGAGACAAGAGCAAACTACTTCTATCAGAGAGAGTGCACTCTCTTGACTCACTGCCAGTCTACATCTGGCAAGGATTAACTAAAAAAAAACAACAACAAACAAACAGTAAAAAACACACACATAGTAGAGGATTGAATTACTGCTTTTGCTGCCCCTTAAATGGTGGTGTGTGAGGTAAGGATTTTCTCCAAACCACTGTTAACTCTAGATACATTCCAGGCCACCATTCCCAGGATGAAAAGTAAACAAAGAACTAATGACCCTGGAGTCACTTCTGTACAGCTATTATTTTAGGGCTTCAAGTTAATCTTGCACCTACTATTTTATTTTATGCTCACAACCTTCCCCTACTTTCCATCACCAAAAATGTGATGAAAGGGGCAGACAATAATAATATATAATATTGTCATTCATGGGAAAAATCAACCAAGGCAGTGTGGAGGGCTTCAGAAAGTTCATGGAAAAGTGGAATGAAAAGATAATGGAATTTCAATACTGAGTTATTGTTATCATGACTAATTGCGACTGTCACACTGCAAAGGTAGAAGTTTTGTAACAAAAACAGGGGAGTAGTTAATCTTACAGTCTAGAAACAGAGGACCCTAGGTCCATCAAAAGAGACGAGCACAAGCGGAATGCAGAATCCTATCCCAGTGCAGCGACACCAGAGATGGAGGCAGAAATGGAAACATGGAGAGAAGGAGCAGTTGAGGACTCTAGACTCATGGAAAGAGAGGGACTGAGTGCTGGCAGCCAGGAGGCAAGCTTGCAGAATGTGCCTTTTGGTTGTTTAAATTATTATATATTACTGAGTGTGTTTGTGTATATCTCCCCACCTCCCCCCACCCCCCCTAAAAAGAGGGAATGGAAGTAAATACTGTTGAATGAAGATGCACGGAGGAGATTGTAATCATTGAAATGAAATGATGGTGTAAAGCCAATGTTCTTCCATGTAAACTATCACTCAATTCATAAGCAAAGCTTTAAAAAAAAATTAAATTTAACTTAAAAAAGATAATGGAATCTTTCCACGAACTCTTTGAAGCCCCCTCATATTAATAAGGGGTCCTGGTGTGGCGCTGTAGGATAAAGCACTGAATCGCAAGGTCAGTTTGAACCACAAAGTCAGTAGTTCCAACTTGCAAACCCTATTCAGGTCCTTATGAGTCAGAACTGACTTGACAGCACTTAACAACAACAACAACAACAAAGGAATATAATTACAGTATTTAGAAATGGATTTCTAGATGACCATACTATTCAAATGCTGCATTGCAGTTCCCTCAGTCCTCCTACCAACAGCACTGAAACGCAGAGAGTCAATGTCTGGAAATTATATTGGCATGTTAACAATGTTTTCATTCATTCATTATTTCCTCACAGGTCACCCACACGCATCCACTGTCATCGAGTCAATTCCAACTAATAGCAACCCCATGTAGACTTCCTGAGATTGTTACTATTTATGGCAGCAGACAGCCTCACATTTTCCCCATGAGGTGGTGGGTGAATTTGAACTGCCAACCTTGCAGTTAGTGATCCAATGTATAGTCCATAGTGCCACCAAGAGTCCTTTGTTAGGGCAGCCAAGTACAATTCAGTCACATGCAGTAAAATGATCAAATGAGCTCAAGACTAACAGCCACCATCAAAACTTCTCGTGTTTTAAGATGAAAAGTATTGCTGTGACACAATGATAGGTATTAAGACAGGGTGTTCTGAATGAACAAATACCATTCCTATCCTTCCCCTCCTCTTGAATTCCAGCACTTGATTATTTCCTTGACAAGCAATCTCATATTGTGGTTGAACTAAAGAATGAACTTTAGTATCGGAAAGACATGGTTTAAACCTAGCTTCACCACTTTTCAGCTAAGAAGCTTCAGGCAAAGTATTTAACTTCTCTGAGCCTCAGGTTCCCTCTTCTGTAATATGGGAATGCAAACATCTACCTCATACGATTATGTTGTATGATGATTCTGTTAAAGAAGATAAAGCACAATAGAAAAGAACCGAATTTCTGGCACTTGATCTGTTTGGGTCATTACTGATCCCCTTGGTCCATAGTAGTACCTGGCTCAATAACTATGGATGAACAAATGAATGAGTCTAGTGTGTGCCAAACTCAATGCCAAGTGAGCAATAATAAATGGCTCTGTCTCCTTGTCATGTCTTACTAGCCTCTGTTACCCAGCTATCTACTTGGCCTTTGAGCCCTCTGCTCACTTAGATGGCTGGTACTACCTGTATATCCCCTGGTCCCTTCCCTGCTCAGGACCCCTGAACGCCACAGGACAAAGTGGATATTGGCAGGAAGGACCATTAACTCTAGAATGCTTTGTAGGCCTCTGAAATTCATGGGTCAAAAAATTCCTGTCCTGAGTTTGGTGACCTTAGATGTCAGGCTGCAGCAATATCAGTTAGCACCCACTCACCCTGGCTTTAAATGACTCATCCACTGGTAGGAAGCAGTGTTCTCCGTGATAAAAGTTTTAACTCAATATTCACAATAATAGTGGCGGTAATAAAAATCCCTGCTTATGTGTGTTGAGTAAGTATTGTGTTCTAGGAACTGAAGCTCATTACGTATATTCTTCCCCTTAGTTCTCAGTTTTGTCTATGAGGCTGTTATTAATTGTCATCTAGTTGGTTCTGACTAAGAGTGACCCTGTAAAGTGTTTCTGAGGAGCATCTGGTGGGTTTGAACTATTGACCTTGTGGTTGGCAGCCCAGTGCTTACCCTAAAGTGCCATATTGGACTCCATTCTCTATGAGTCACCATTATTATTTCTATTTTCCAGTTGAAGAAGATGAGACTATAAGTAACTTCCCACAGAATTCGCACTCATCAAAGGTACAGCCAGACCTTGCATTTGCATTTCTCTAGTACACGAGTCCTGGTATGGCACTGCGGGTTAATGCACTGGACTGCAAATTCCATTTGAACCTCAAGGTTGGAAGTTCAAGCTCACCAAGTCGCTCCTCGGAAACCCTATACAGGGTTGGCATGAGTCGGAATCGACTCAACACAATGGCACTTAACAACAACAACAATAATATACATATACGTTCTCAAACATAGCTTGCATAATAATACAAAGGATAAAAGGGCCCTGTTAGAACGCACCGTTGCAGAGATTTAAGACTCACAGGTCATGTCATGTTTCTTGAAACACAGCAGTTGCATTCATATGAGTGTATTCAATTAGCCAATATTAATTGAGCAGCTACTACATGGAGACATCACCTACTGGTTAAAAGCATGGCATTGGAATCAGACTTTCTGGGTCCTGTATCAAGCTCTAGCTCTTACGGTTTCATGACTGGAAGTAAACTAACCTCTCTGTGTTTCAGCTGCCTCACTTTTGAAGTAAGGATCACAATAGAACCTATTTCAAAAGTCATACAGGAAGTACTCAATACATATCCACTACAATGACTAGAGAGGTGGGGTTTATTGTTGTTTCTCAAGGAACTGATAACAACAACAACAAAAACAATTGCCACTGAGTCAGTTCCAACTGGTGGTGACAATGGGAATAGGATGTAGCATTTTACTCTCCATGTGATGGGATGAAAGAGCCCTGATGGTACAAAGGGCTAAGCAATGGGCTGCTAACTACGAGATGGGAGGTTTGAGCCCACCAGCTGCTCTGCAAGAGAAAGATGAGGCACTCTACTCCCATAAAGATTTATAGCCTCTAAAACCCTTTGGGGCAGTTTGACTCTATATGGAGAAGGCTGCGATGAGTTGGAATCAACTCGGTGACAATGAGTTTTTGGTTATGATGGGATGAGAGGCAAAGACATAGCCAAATCAATATGACAAAATGCTATAATGCTGCATGTGCAGGGCACCATGAGAACAAAGAAAGAGCATTTAATTCCGGCTATGCGGTTACGAATCGGGCTGTGAACCACAAGGTCAGCACTTCGAAACTACCAGCTATTCCGTGGGAGAAAGATGAGGCTTTCTGCTCCAGTAAAGATTTACAGCCTCGGAAACCCTGTACAGGGTGGCTATGAGTCAGAACTGACTCCACAGCACATAACAACAACAATGGGGTAAGAAGGTGGCTTCCGTTGCAGTGTGCTTACAAGGTGGAGTAATTGTGCTCCCTAATTCTCTGGAGACACAGGACTCTGAGTATGCCAGACCCATTCTAAAACTCATCCCTTAGGAGATGCCAAGGAGGAGTCCCATGGGTACAGATGGCTCCTTCAGGATTTAAAAAAAAAAAATTGACTAAGTCCCCTTGGGATGGGTCTCAAGAAAGACAAACCTCCTGCTGCCTTTCTGGTTGGGTTCCAATGTGTATAATACTGAGAATTCCTAGAACAGGCAAGTTGACACAAGGGAATTCTTGCCCAGAATGGTCTGTTTACTCAGTGGATATGAATTGCCCTGACTCCAGTAGACCAGGGAGTTGTTTACCCTCATGGCCCTGGGCCCATTTACACAGAAGGATGTCTGCTCATACACTGTTTACTCTGAAAACCACAATCCTGGCCTGGGTTTGTAGTCAGGCCGACCTGGTTTGCTTCTGGCACCTTCACATACCCGTTCACCTTGGGAACGTGACTTTACCTCTCTGAGACTCAACCTCCTCAAATGGAACTAGCAAGCTCTGCTTTGTAGAACTACAGACCTTGGCACATACCAAATACTTGATAAATAACAACATGGGCTAAGATACATTATTACTGAGGGATTACCATGTCCCTCCCAGGCACTGTGCCAAGACCTTCACAACACCACCTCATTTAATACTAACATCTCCCTTTGACAAATGAGAAAACTGAAACAAAATGAGTTGTGATACATGTACAAGGTCTAGTTACTTTTGTGCCTCTACAAATAAGTTAGTCTCCTTGCTTGACAAAAAAGCAGATGTGGATAGAAACTGGACCCAAGAATTCAAAGACGCTCCTTTAACATTTTCACTGTCTCCTTTGTCAGTTCTGGGTAAGCTTCAAAGGGGACAGTCTGCT